GCATTCTTTGTGCTTCATGTTTTCAACCCTCCAAATTCATAATGACACATAAAATTTCAATGATCAAGAAGTGCGCCTCCTACTTCTTTGACAAAAAGTGCTTAATAAACACAAAAGCTAAAGAAAGGCATATGCATACAACTATGAATATGGGATTTAGTAGTCCAGGGGGGACCTAGAATTTATAATTATGAATATGGGGTGAGCTAAATTTTTTTAGGAACCCATAGCTTATGTAGTGCTTTTTGTTAGTCAGTTCTTTGCTAATATAAAAAATATCAAAATAACAAATCTTTTGTAGGGGAAAGTGGATCCCTTATGATAATGTTAATATTAATAGGGTTGTGTGACCCAAAATTTAAAATTTGATTATTACAACCTTTATCTATTCCCCTATAGAATCCACGAGTTTCTTATAGTTTAAATTTGACCATAGAGAGAGGCGGTGTGGAAATTTTGAGAGGTAGGATTGTTAACTTTCATGCATCCACTCTTACTAAGGTTTCTAAGGCTTGGTATTATATCATTTCTACCCAATTTATACCAAACACAAATATTAATAAGGTGACCAAGGAATGCACTTTTTTAATTATTCCATTCAGGTTGATCACTCAATTATTGTAGGGGAAATTTATACAATCCTCCCTCTTGTACATGATTAGAGGGTTACCATAGTAGGTTTTGGGCACCCTCTTTAATTTATTCTTTATGACAATTAGTAGGTATTTTGGGTGAGTATGGGGAAGAGTTACACTATCCCATTTTTGTTGTCACCCATTATAAAATAGAAAAGTTTAAGGATAACACCCAGGAAGAATCTAAATACATATTTGAATTAAAATTTTTCATATTTAAATCCCCAACCATTCAAACTATTCTCTTAACAAATCTATAATAGAACAGAACATAAAAATGAGATGAACTCATTAACAACAAAAGTCATCTTATTTAATTATTAATAAGCCTAACTCCTAAAGAATAATTGGAAACTTCATGATAAATTGAATAACCAAGTGATCTCTAAATCTCACATGCTTATAATCAAATAAAGCATTTTGACACTGTAAGACACCTACATATGGAAAGAGCAAGCTATGATCAAAGAAATTTATATGGAACATCCAATGGAGTGTTTATGACTTTCTCTTTATTTATGGGGCATGCTGCTCTCCAAAAACCTAGGAAGAGGCCCTCACTCTATACATGAGAGGGACAATCTCTGCTTGAGATTTAAGAGAACTATGAGGCTTTAAAAATCTTATAGCTCCAATAGAGCACTAATACCAAACCACCATATGACCTTTATCATTAAAACACTAACGAATCATTTTTGTTGGGCCACTAATAAAACTCTATTATCAAAACAATCTATGACCATCATCTTTAGAACATCTCCTAACCTCTGCAATGAGAAAACCACTCAATAGCTTCCATTAGACCATCACTTGATTGTCATCATTGAAACACTACTTGACCATCATGCATTCATAAACATAGGACCACCACCTGCCTACTATTATTAAACCTCCACCTGATCAACTTCATTGGAGCACTTCCTAATTAGCCATATTGAACCATAGCTCAACCACCACCATTGGAATACTACCTGACTTTTATCGTTGGACCATCACCTAACTACCTACATTGGGCCACCACTCGACCAACATCATTGCATCACCATTACTCGATCATGATCCTCTAAACACTATTGCCCTATAGTCCTCCAACCTTTGTAACCTTTGTTACCTGATCAATTTCCCTCCAACAACTATCACCTAAATATGATCCTTCTAATCACCATCACTCGAGTATGTTTTCCTCACCTTTGTAGCCCGACCATAATCCTTCCAACCTCTGTTTCTTTACAACGATCTTTCTAACACCATTGTCTAACTATGGTATATTGAAACACTGTCACACGACTATAATCCTTTTATCCACCATCACTTCATTATATTCTTTTTTTCCATATTTTTTTTACTGTATTCTAACCTTTATCATCGAACTATAGTAGTCCTATCACAGTCACCAAACTATAGTACTTTGTCCATAATATTATGACTATGATCCTTCCTACCATTGTTGCCCAACTATAGTCCTTTCGATAACTATTGTGTGACTTTGATCCATCTAAACAAGACTACCCATCTATGGTTCTTTGACATTCATCACTTAACTATGATCGTTTGACCATCATCCCCCCAATTATAGTCCTTTGAAAACCACCACCCAACTATGACCCTCCGACCAATATCGCCCATATGATCCTCTAAACATCATTGCTAATTATGGTCTTCCAACCTTCATCACCTAACCACGATTCTTCTGACCATCATTGCCTATCCACGATCCTTCTAATCATCATCATCTAACTATAATCCTTTCAACCATAGTTTCCTAATTATGGTCCTACGACCTCTGCCATTTGACCATAATCCTTCTAATCATTACCACCATGCTATGATCCTTCTTACCTTAATTATCATCACTCGACCGCAGTCTTTAGTCCAACCAACTTCAATTGACTATGATCCTCCTAGCAATATCTTATAGCTATAATCCCTTGATCATCATCGCTTAATTACGGTCCTTCCGACTATTATTACCCCACTATAATTCCAACCCTTGTTGTTCTCAAACTATTATCCTTTTGACCACCATCATCCAATTATGATTCTCAATCCTTCTTTATCCAACTACGGTCTTTTGAACACCTTCGCTTGGTCCTCCAATCTACAATCTTTTGTCCAATATAATCTTTCTACAACAATACCCTTTGACTTTATCATCTGTTTATCACCAAGAACATCAATGCACGCCATTGCCTCGCCATTTCCTATAAGGCCATTGCATGCCGTATACACAAACTATGATTCCCCACATTAAACAAATGATTTATGCTAGGTTGCATGGTCCTTGATCTCCACACTTGAAATGTAAACATAAAAAAAGAAAAAGAAAAAGAACTTTTAAAGACAACTTGATGGCACATGGCAATTCTAACTTCCATATCATAATTAATTTTGTAAAGTTTGTATCAACACATTCACCAATTATGGCAAAGAACATCCCACATGATTCAATAAAGCTATGCCTTTTCCCTCTGCTAAAGGACTAGAAGGATATTAATTCCTTTAGTTAGAGAGTAGAATGAAAGGGCTTCCGATTCTTTAGAAGAATTGACTGATTTCTCCCTTCTTCATGGATCTGGGGGAAAAGGAACCATCTACCAATTGGGAAGCTAAACGTCAAGGTTGTGCACATCGACAAGTAGAAAGGATCACCATCTTTACAGTACTTCACTTTTAGGTAAAGGCTATTTTCATAATATAGCATATGAATCCTTAGAAGAACAAGTAAATAAGAGAGTATATATATTAATGAATGAGATCTGTTTACCAGAGAGTGAAGATGCGAGCCTCCTTTGCACTGCCTTCCTCATATAAGCTATCGGGTTGACCTAGAAGGCCAAATTCTATGGTAGAGAAGGCTTTCATTTTAATTTTGCCATGAGTGGTATCAAGGGGTTCTGGAGTTTGTTACTAGTCTTAGACCAAGTAACCTCCCATCATTCTTCTATCTTGTAAGGTTCGAATGAAATGATTGGTTTATTATTGATAACACTAACAAACCCGTGTCTATACTGAAGCTAATGGGATAGTAGTCATGAGTTAAATCTACTTAGGTACATAGTAGATCGCTCTCACTCGGGATAATGAATTGACTCGGCTGGAGGGAGAAATCCAATGATAGGGGCCCCGGGGCGGTGAGCAAGTGACACACTTATTCTCTGTTGGTGTTTCAATTGTTCTAATTAGTTAATCGGTTTGAAAGAAGGGAAAGTGAGTAGATTTCATTTTTTTTCTCCAGGCTGAAAGCTAGGTTGGCGAGCCCCATGAATGTTCTTTGTTGAAAGGGAGGCCGAAGGAAGACATCATCTAAAGGGAGACTAACTCTTTCTAAGAAATTCAAGACTATATTAGAAAGAATTACTATGATGGAATTTTTGGATGAATCTAACCTATTATGTCAATTAGTATTAAATTATTTCTTATAAAAATAGGCACTAGTTTTGAAAAAAAAAAGAATCATTTTGACAATCCTTTGATCCTCTTTCTTCAATTTCTTCTAATTTTCTAAAGTGAGTGAAGTGAGTCGAGGGGAAGAATCTAAAAAGCAATGTCAATTGGTTCTCGCTGACCAAAAGGTTTGGCCCATGAAAAATAAAAGAAGAATTTGCATCAACTGCCTTCCTACCACGCCCTAATTTGAACGATGCCAATTTTTTTACCCATAATAAGTTTTTTCCCATACCAAGATGGAAGAAAAAGAACTTAATTAGCTCAACAGTCTGAAAGGAGTCATATTGCCTATACCAGAAAGAGTCCCAATGCTAGCTACATCTAACTCGTGAGAGACAACAGGAATTCTCTTTGCTATCAGTTTCCTTGCCCGGTGCTTGTCTAATTGCCCAACTCAGAAGTGCTTTTTCTTATTCTACTAGACATAATTTTATTAATCGAATTGAGTCTGATCTATGAATAACAGGCTCGTTATTGAGTTCTAGTTCTTTATCCTCCCCCGATAGATCTAACACATAACAAACATTGGTAGAATTATAAAAATTTGGCTCAACCAAAATTTTTCCCTTTTGATAGATTTTTCATGTAAAAAATTATGACATCTCTCGCCATCCCTTTACTATTTATGTATGCGTTGTATCTTCATAAAAATGAAAGGATAATAAATTCTAACTCTACTACATCAAGTGTTCTAACATGTAAAATTGCCTATCGCATTTAGTGAAATTAGAAATTTAATTGAGATATAGCAAATGAATTTATTCAAAAATTAGAAATTAAAAATTTTATAAAGTAAATAAATATAATAAAATTTGCAGTTCTTTTTTCCTTCAATTCAAACAAACTCAGATAACCCTCCTACAAATACAAACTTTTGGACGATATTGCAAATTATTGAACCGCAACTATAAATTTGAAATCGAACTGCAACTATAAATTTGAATTGACATGCCCTTGCCCCGCCGATTTGTATGCCCTCCACTTTCCGCCCTTTCTTTCACTCTGATAGCAGCTACTGCGGTTGCTGGAATAAAATTCGCTCCAGATATCGTAAGGATTGCAAATGAAATAAAGCATCGGTTAGATCTCCATTGGAATCGAGATCTAAGCGCCTTCTAACCGATCAAATGAAGCTTAATATTAACAAGGTCACCGATCTGAGTTCCATCTCAGTGCTTCCGCCTCACTCCAGGTTCAGATCGTAATCCTTATGTCAGTACTTTGCTAATCTCTTTCGATGTACTTGTTTTCTCCTTCTCGGCGCAGTAATTGATCGATTTTGCTTAGGAGACTGAACACGATGAACTCAGGAGTGGATGCATACGGGTTGGGGAGAAATCAAGCGTCGCAGCTCCGATCTCAATCTCAGCAGTCATTTTCTCAGGGGCTTTCTCAGTCTCAGATCTCTCAGAGCTCCTTCGAGAACTTCGGGAGCGATCAGGTGATGCACGATCTTTGAATCAATTGAAAAAGACTAACAACATTTATATAAAAAGATAGAAAAAGACACTAGAGTGAATGTTTTCATGCTTTTCAGTCCCCATTCTCTTGCTTCCCTTTTACTTTCACCGCTATTATCTCCTCGGTAATAACGGGACTGCATATCAATGCAAGAAGAAACCACAAATACATGATAGGTTTGATAATCTAAATACATGTGCCAATTTCTTCACTGATGCTAAGTTGAAAAGTAGTAAATTATGATTGCTTTCACTATGACATTTCGTGATTGCATAGATCGAAGTTACTCTTTGGTGTGTGAATATATGTTGGGGACAAGCGTATTAGTACAAAAAAGAAGTAACTATTAGTGAAATCTTCTTGGAAAGTTGAAGTAATTTTTTAGATGTAATTTTTCTTTTCTTGTTAAGCTCAAAAGACCATGCCTGATGAATAAAGGGCTTCTTTATTATTAATAAGTGATTAAAAATCACCTTAATTGGGCACAAATTTCTATGCATAGTTGAACTGAAAAATTTCAAAATCAAATTAAGGATCATACGAACTCCAATGTCAGCAAACTAATAGTCCAACTAATAGGCTCGATTAGGCGTGTGAAGATGCTCCAAAAGTGACTTGATTCGTGCACAAAGAGCCCATATCAAGAGCTTAAAGCATAGATGGAAATTATAGTATATTAATTAGGGGAACAAGTTATCTCCAAATTTGGAATGCTTATAGTTTAATCGAGCGTTCAACAGGATGAAGCCAACAAGCTTAAGATTGATTCATTGCAAAATCATTACAACAAAAACAACATCAAGACTTTATCCCACTACACGGGGTCGACTTGATGAATTCTTTTACTCCATTTTGTCCTGTTAAGAGTCAATTTTTCATTTAAATCTAAAAAAAAGGTCATTTCTAATATTTTTGAACCAGATTTTTTTTTTGATCTGCCTCTAACTTTCTTAATATAAGTCAAATCTAATAAATCTACTCTCCTAATCGGGTCATCAGAAGGCCACCATTTTATGTGACCAAACCATCTAAGTCAACTCTATCTAATCTTATATGCCATTTGTGTACTTCAACCTTTCACATATATGCTCGTTTCATATCCTATCTCTAAGAGTTAAGCCACTCATCCACCTGAGCATCCTCAACTATGCAACACTTAACTTAATATTATGCTTCACTTTTAATGGCCAATATTCTGCGCCATAAAGCATTGTAGGTCACCACCATCTTATAGAATTTCCATTATGTTTGAGGGGTACTTTTCTATCGCATAACAAGCCTAATGCATTCCTCTATGCTTCACCAACATTCTACGCCATAAAGCATTGTAGGTCATCACCATCTTATAGAATTTCCCTTAAGTTTGATCGAGGGGTACTTTCCTATCGCACAACAAGTTTAATGCATTCCTCTTCTTCAACCATCCAACTTAAATTCTACTAATAATATTCCCATTTATTTCACCATCGCTTTGAACAATAGACCCAAGATATCTAAAACGTATAATCTTATTAATGACTTTATTGTGTAAAGTCACAATCTCCACTAGATCTATTACTTCAAAAATTACACTCCATGTATTCGATTTTAAATCTATTCAAATGAAAACCTTTAGACTCTATGGTTAACCTCCATAATTCAAGTTTACCTTCAACTCTCTCTAGTCTTATCAACAAGAAGAATATCATCAGCAAAAACCATATACCAGGGTATATCCTCTTGCAAATGTCTAGTAAGAATATCCATGACTAAGAAAAAATATATGAGCTTAAGGCTGATCATTGATGTAATCAACTGAAATAGGAAAATACTTAGTCAAACCACCTTGTGCTTGAACACAAGTAACAATTCCTATATACTTATCCTTAATGACTTGACTATAAGCATTATTAACCATTTTCTTTTCTAGAACTCTTCATTGCACTTCTCTTGGAACTTTATCATATTCTTTCCCTAAATCAATAAATATCATATGTATATCCTCCTTATTCTCTCTATACTTCTCCATCAAACCTCTTAATAAATGTATAACTTCCATAGTATACCTACTCGGCATGAATCCAAATTAATTTTGTGAAACATTAGTATCACGTTGTAACCAATGCTCCATAACTCTCTCTCATAGTTTTAAAATTTGACATATTAACTTAATTCCTCTACAATTCGTGCAATCTTATTCATAACCTTTATTATTAAAAATAGAAGTTAACACGCTCATTCTCTACTCATTTGACATCTTTTTAGTCTTAAAAATAATACTAAAAATTTAGTAAGCAAAAAAATTACTTCATCTCCTAAGCATTTCCACACCTCTAGAAGAATATCATTAAGTTCAATAGTTTTTTTACACTTTATTTTCATTAAAGCTTCTATAACTTCAATCTTACTAATACGCTAATAAAAACTGAAATCTCTGTTTTCATTTAGATGTTAAGATCACTAAAGTCAATTGTATTCTCACAATCTTCATTGAAAAGATTAGCAAAATATCTCATCCACCTTTGTTGAATATTCTATTTTAATAAAAGCACTTTTTGATCTGCATCCTTAATGCACTTCACTTGAACTAAATACGTACTATTGATATATCTTTGTTTGGCTAGCACACATATTTTTTTCGTCCTCCTTAGTATCTAATTTATTATATAAATCATTAAAAGCTAAAATCTTTACATTACATTTTGCTTTCTTATGCTCCTTATAGACCTCTTCATATTTTTTCTAATTTTTAGAATATTTACCTCTAAAATAATTTTTATTACAAAGCTTCTTATTTTTGGTCTTTTCTTGAATATTTTTATTCCACTATCAACTTCTTTTTACTATTAAGAGTTTTTTCTTTTGATACTGCAGGCACATTTTTTGCAATATTTTTAATATCACTAGCTATTTTTTCTCATATAACATTAGTTTCCTCATGTATAGATAAAATCTTAAGATCAAGAATCTCGTTCTCAAAAATATTTTTATTAGTGTTCTTTAAATGCCCTCATCTAATCCTAAAATAATGTTTTACTTTATTTTTATATTCTGCCAAAACGAATATGCAATGTTAAATACATAAACTTTTACTTGAAAAAACTTTATAGTCTTAGCAATCTAAACGATCTATATAAATTATAAGAAAAAAATCATTGAGTTTTATTATATTAATTCTTATAAGTGATAAGATGTTTATTTTATTTCTAAAATAATGTATTAACAATTACAAAATCATAAGCTAGAGTAAAATATAATATAGTTTTATTACATTCATCAGTCGCTTTAAACCCATTGCCACCAAAAATAATTTTAAAATCATCGACCTCATCTAGCAACATGTTCATTTAAATCTCCTCTAATAAAAATTTTCTTCAAAAGATATCTTTTGTATTAATTCTTCTAAGTCATTTAAAAATTTTTATTTTGAACATATATTCAAACCTACTTTAGGAGCATAAGCACTTATAGTATTAATAATCTTAGTATCATCAACAATCTTTAAAAGTATAATTTGATCTCCAATTAAATTAATTTTTATAATATTATTCTTCAAACTCTTATCTATAATCACTTCTAACTATTTCTAGTACAACTTCTATTAGAATATCATAGTTTAAATCTTAAACTATCAATTTCCTTAGCCTTCTCTCCAACTCTTTTTGTTTCATGAATGTATAGAATATTTATCTTCCTATAAATCATAATATCTATTAATTTCATTAATTTGCTTGTAATATAAGAGAACTTATATTCCATGTTTTTATCTTAATTCTAGTTTATGGACTAGCTTTTTTGCCCACATCCATCCATCCATGATGTGGGAACCCTTACCTATTTAACACTACACCCGAACACCAATGTGGCGGCCCTTGCACACTTCTCGCTGTATTTAGGCCATACAACGTTTCATTTCCAGGAAACACTCTAACATTAACATAATGTATTAAATAATTCATATCATGTTTACTCGATAAGTTTTACGTTGGTTGTCAACTACCTAATGTAACTATCCACTTTTCTCATCATGGACTTAGAACCTAACAGCGGTAGTGTTTAAGAAAACACTTAAATGCTAATAGAATGATCTATGATTAAGGGAATCAATGACGGTCGTCTAATGGACTATTTTGAATTTTGACTATATTTATGGTGCATACCACTCTTAAAACTTACAAATAGGTTGTTACTCTCAAGTCTCAACATGAAGAGGATCGAGAGCTTGGACTTCTGCTTGAGATTCAATAGAGTTTAGAGGTTTTAAGGATCCCAAAGCACCACTTGAGCACCATTGTGGGGCAATCATCCAACAGTCATATTGATGGACCACCATCCAACTATCGCCATCTGACCACCACTTGAATGTCATTGGCAGACCACTACTTGACCTACATTATTGGAAAACCCACCTAACATCATCATCAAACAACATCTTGATGCTATTGACAAACCTCCGTCCGAATGCTGCAGTCGGACCATTGTCCAACCGTCACTGATGAGCCACTGCCCTACTGCTGCCATCTGACCACCACCTGAATGTTGCCGGCAAACCACTACCTGAATTACACAGTTGGAAAACCACCCAACATCGTCATCAGCATCTTGACGCTACTGAAAGACCTCCACCCGAATGTTGCCATCGGACCATCGCCCAATCGCACGACATAATCGTCAGGCAACCATCCGACCGCCACCATTGGAACAACACCTGACATCGTCATCAAGCCATCACTCTATCGTTGTCATCATAATATCACCGAATTGCCATTGTTGCATCACCAATAATTGACTAATGTTGCTTAACTATTATCCCCCGACCATTGTTACCCGACTACGGTTCCACAGCTACATTCACTTGACTATAGTTATCTGACCTCTGTTGCGTCTACAATCATACAACATCCGTCGCCCAATTATGATCCTTTATCAAATGATCTTCTAATAGTTGTCATCGAGCTATACCAACTGTCGCTGACTTTAGCACCTACCATCACTAACAATGTCAATGCAAGCCATCAGATGCAAGCAATCAGATGCAAACCATCAACATCAGCTTCGACTCACAAAATCACCGCTAGGATTTATGTTGGACTTCTCACTTTCTGATTTCCTCTTCTCAAAGGTGTACGACCAAACAAACAAGCAAACAATCTCTTAAAGACAACTGTCATGCCACCGGATTCTTCTAAATTCAGCCACATAATATGCTCGATACAATGTATGTTTACTACATTGAGTGAATTCTTATCCTTGAAGAAGGACTTCATTTGTAACTAATGACAAATATTAGTGGACTTTACCTTGGTCAGACACTATGGTTTTTCTTTGTCCTGGGTTTTCAATGTAAAAATGCCTCTTAAAATTCTTGCACTGTTCTCTTATCTATGTGCATGTTGGATCTTTGTGTAAAGTTAAGATGTTAAACTATATATTTCTCAACTGCTACTGAGTGTTCCCAACATGCAACACTTATGTAGGCTATTTGTGCATTATATATTTATCTTATGGGTTCTATGTTTCATGCATTATAACAAATGACTAAATATGTAGTAGAGGGTACAAAAATGAGGTACTGACTTGAACATGTTTAGCGAGATTAGAATTTTAATTCCTTAAGATCTGCTTTTTAATTTGTTATTCGGTAAACTGGTAATTGATACGTTAATTTACCTTTTCTTTTGGGCACAGCCATTTGCAAATTTAAAGTTACTCCTAATCGTCATTTTTTTATTACCAAACTTTGTTTTAGTCGTTGTAGCATCTTTGTAATGTTTGCTTTCATGTGACGAATTGGTTCCATGAAGTTTCTCTTCAGATATGTTTTCTTTTATGTTGTATTAGAAAATTGATTCTCAAGAAAAAGAGAAGCCATCAAAAAGGATATCTTCATTAGCTCCCATAATGCCACTACGAGATGATTCTCAGATGCAGCTGTCAGGGGCATCCAGCAATGCCATGCGACGTTGGAGTTGTGCCACTGTTCCAGATAATAAATGTAAGTTCTTGTCTGTATGGGATGCAGTGCATTAATTGTTGAGTGTTACCTTTAATAAATGGATCAGCTTTTTTTTTATTGTTTCTAGTGTAAATAGACCATGCTTTAAAGTAATTTTGTGTTCGCAGGTTTCATCTCAATTTATAACTCCTGCAGTAGTATTGGATTAATATCTTACCCAAAACTCTTGAATAGGTCATGTTAGTGAAGAGCTTGAACACAGATTACGGCTCCTGGAAAGTTCACTGAGTAAACTGGGCATGATCCTAGACTCCCTTCAAAGCGATGTCATGCAAGTGAACAGAGCTGTCAAAGAAGTGTCTTTAGAGAGTAAGTAATAATGCGCTTTTGTAACATGAAGGACGATTGAACTTCCAATATGTAAACTTCTGGTCTTGTGGATATTGTGGAAGAATTAATGGATAGAGAATTATGAACATTCTCATGTATATAACTGGAGTATTGTGTTCAACAATCCATGTACTATATTAGGGTGTCTTAAGCTTTCAATGTATGATATATCTTATTTGGACACATCAATTGAATGCATCCCTGTTTTAGTGGAAGGGATACGACAGAAGGCAAATCTTCTTGATAGTTCAACACAGCAAGTGGTGAGAAGCATTTATTAATGATGAAACTTGATTTGCTTAAATACTTTAAAGTGTTCATCTTGAAATTGAAATAGCAGCTGAAGGAAGAGGAGGATATCAAAGCACGTCTTGATAGAAGCATGAAAGTCATTTCTGATGAAATGATGAAGAAAACTGATTTTAATAGACTAAATGAGACTGCATCTTCAATTCCATCATTTACGAAGGAAATAGAAGCACATCTACTGGGATTTCGGAGTGAAATTTGTTTTATCATCTCAAAAAACATGGAGGTATTGTGTACTGTGTTTTTCTTGTGTCTTATTAATTTAATAGAAGACCGCTCAGTTTATTGTCCATTTTTATTGGTGATTTTGTGCACAGTTATTTCATTTCATTTCTTGGGGATCACATCGAAGCTCATGCAGCGATCAAATGTGTAAAAGCTCTTCAATGCCATAAGATCCATCATAGAAAATAGTTGAAATGAAATTTATAAGTCTCTCAATAATGAATCCAAATCATTAGGGCATTTTTCCATTCTCGATATAATAGTTGAAATGAAATTAATTGTATGGATGGCATGCCACTCTGAACCACTTGGATTCCAACTCTACCCTGTTTTCATGCTCTTAAATCTCAACTTTGTTGGTATCAACCAAACATATTTTATTCCTCTTTTAACATAGACTGGAACTTATACTAGAGATGGAGATTAAAACTTTTCATAAATTAGTGTTTGTTTTCATGCATATGCTGCTATGTTTTAGTTGTGATAATATAATCCCACTCCTAGGCTTGCGTAGTCCTCATATAAAATTTGTCTCATGTGCATATCCATTCTTCTTCAATTGACCATAAGGATTAAGCATAGGTTCACTACACCTTTTTCTGAAATTATACTAATGGGTTCACTAGCAATCCAGCTGTAGAAGTTTGGCTTTCTTATACATTCACAAACTTAGGAAGCCTTTTATCCTAAGGCTTAAGCTATTAAATTCAGTTCAATATTTATCTTATTTTCTTACAGCAATTGTCAGGTAAACATTTGAGGCATAAAACCCAGTCTTTGAATCTTTATGGTGTTTGTGGCTTTTGATTTTCCTGGTTGTGAGCTTTCTACTTCCTTTTCATCTGATGTGGACTAGTGGATTTGTCTTACGATTCTGCATTATCCTCTCAAGCATATCATGGTCATGTGTAATCCCACAAGTGTTGACCTAATGTTAATATGTACTAATTTTTCAGGTTTTAACAAAGAATATGAAGTCTGTTTTCAACAATTTGCCAGATGCAATTTTGTCGAGAGAGGTAATTTCACTTCTACATTCAAATATCAAATAGTCCTTTTTCACGTTTTAGTACTTATATCACTTTCTTTTCAACTCTTGTTGATGCCATTAGATGGTAAAATCCTTTATTGGCTTACATTACTAGAGGACTATATCAATTGGAAATAATGCTCGACATTTTTTTGTGCTATAATTGAAAATATGTTCCCCTTGCAGGCTAAAAGTTGTATTACAGCTCGAAGACATGAACGCAACCAAATATCAAAAACCGAAATGTACACTTTTACACTCATGTCTCGTTTTCCATCCCTATTTTATCCTGGATACCTTAAAGCTATCAACAAGAAGTTACTATGTAAAGCAATTTATGTATTACTCCTGTTGCTAGGTTCCGTAATCGGTGATCTTTTTATGATATAAGATAAATTAATGAAATCTTGGATGAATTTTTAAATGGGTCAATTCTTAAAACTACAATTCAGATATCGTTCAAGTTAAAGGCATTCTTGAACCATTTTGAGATATTTATAAACATGTTACTATTAGAGGGAGTGTAATGTGGACATAAGTTTTAAATTTTTATAGTTAAACATTTGAGTTATTTTTGCATTATAGATTTGATCAATTTTTTAGGTTGTTTATAGTCAATATTATTAAGCGTGTAGAAATTTCTTAGAAGTTTTAGCGATTTGTTTGCACTTTATTGATACTTTTTAAGCTATTTTTTAGCTGTTTGGTATGAGTTTGTCTCTCCCCTTTATAAATCTAAAGTTTCGAGTCATGTTAGACAATTTATAACATAAATAAATTCTTATTCTGGATGTGGACATTCTTCTTCATCTATTCTAGGATTTTGATCATTAATTTGGTCTGAAATCTGCTATCTCTTGATTTAAGCACAAGGCCTGCTTATCTTGTAAATTTTTTTAGTCTTTTCTATATTCTTTCTTATCTTTTCTAGTTTGTTTTTTTAGTTTTTCCTGCATCAAATTTGTATCAAAGGAAAAATTCCTTATTCATTCTTTATATAGGAATATAGGATTACTCTTTGTTTTTTTAGTTTGTCATGCATAAAATTGGATACATCTAATGAAAGGTTTACATCTTTAGTTATGGTTTTACTAGAATCATTGAAAGATGTCAAATACTTATTCGATCCCATAGAGAGGATAGGAAACATAGTTGTCGGCTCCAAAAATTCACGTCCTGGCCTCTCCGCGTCCTCTTTCTCTTTTTCAGGTCGTTGAGGAGAGTTTAACGAGTAAATTTCGAGGCTAATTTTTAGAAGGCAGATTTAGTTTTGAAAAAGACATTACCCAGAGGTTTCACTCTCATTTTGTAAGGACTTTATGATCTGAGTTCAGGTTTCCTATAGGCGCAAGCCTACATAGTTAATTACCCATCTCGATAGCGAGAGAGAACTTTCGAGTAAGGCTATTCGTCAAACAAATACATATTATCCACAAATATATAGTATCTAGCGCATGGTAGCAGCATAATTTAGAGTTTGAAAATTTAATATTTAAAATTAGAAATTCACCACCTTGTACTAAAAACGGATGGTGGGGGGAATGATGAAAGACTCGATCAAGATTTCATGGTTTCGTCATCTCGGGTCATCATGGTCCATAGTCTACTTATTCAAAGGAGGTAGTTGACTCAACCTAACAGAAGAATTCTTGCCAACAACCATGGGTTGCTTTATCCAAGGATACTTTGTAGGCTTGGGGTGAATTCATATCTAAGAGCACAATTTGAGTCCACCTTAGCTAATAGAGAGCTTTGTGCTCTATCGATCATATCCTATTGATTCACTACTCAATGATTTAAAGCAGTTGAGGAATTTATGGGCTCTGACTATGTTGACCTGCTATGCCGTGCAAAAAAAAAAAAAAAAAAAAAATCGAAATAAAAATATTACCTGTCCGGCTCCTGCCATCCCACGACGTTCGCACGTCGTCGCCGCAATCAAAGTCGTATCCTCGCACGTCGTCTGCACGACTCGATCAAGTCGTTAAATGGCAGAGGAAACGAAGCAAAAGAGCTTTTTCCTCTCTTCTCCCGAATCCTCTGACTCTCGCAATCCCTCTCTCACGACCAAACTCCCGCACACATAGCTCCTTCTCCGGCTTCTTGTCCGATCAGAAGTTACGACATTTTGAATCGGAAGCAAGATCGGGAGCTCGCTTGTGAAGGTAACTCTCTCCCCGTCGAGCACTCCTCCGGCTCCTTCTGGCTGTTCGACCCCGCTCCATTAGCGACGTTTCCTTCGAGTCGAATCGGAAGTTACGACATTTAAATCGGAAGCAACAACTGGAAGCTCGCTGGGACTGAAGAAACTTTCTCCCTTTGGCGTAGCTTCTCCGGCTCCTTCGTTGTAGTTCGACCGCTCCTCCGACTTTCCCTTCCTGCCGAATTGGAAGTTACGACATTTTGATCGGGTGCAAGAACAGAGCTCGCCGCCTGAGAAGGTAACTTTCTCCCGTTCGGCATCTTCTTCGGCCGAATCCCGTAATCCGCCGAACCGAGAGATTGGGGAGGGAGAGGTATAATTTATTTTAATTTTTTTTAATTGTAATTACTTTAATTAATTTTAATTAATTACAGTTGTTTATTTTTAATTAATTATAATTATTATAATTAATTATGTTTAATTTTAATTAAATCATTATAATTAATTTAATTAATTATAATAAATTTTAATTAGAATTAATTTTAATTAATATTTAATTTATTAATTATTATCATTAACTTTAATTATGCTTTATTAAATTTAATTAAAAAGTTAATTAATTATAATTAAGCACAAATTAATTATAATTAATTATTTTAGTTCATTTTAATAAAATTGATTAATTATCTCTAATTAATTGTAATTAATTAATATAAGTAATTAATAAAATAATTTATCAATTAATTTTAATTAATTAATATTTATTATAATTAAATATATATATAATAATAAAAAAAAAAAAAGAGAATGCTCTTCCTACCTCGATCCACGAAGCCTCCTCCGCCGGACTTCAAGGTATAATTTCTAACTCCAATCCGTTCTCGACGTTTGCCAGCGGACTGAGAGAACCACCTATACGCGCTCTTGTAGCACGGTAGGAGGAGCAGCCCCAGGTGCGAAGCATACGACGAGGCGGGTAAGCCCTATTACACGCTCTTGTAGCTGGTGGGACGGTCCCTCGACCTCGACACTCGACACCGCCGACGATTGCCTACGCAAAGGTATGATGGTCCAAAATCCCATTCTCACGTTTGCAGCGGACCGGAGAACCACCTATACGCGCTCTTGTTAGCACGGTAGGAGGGAGCCCGGTGCGATCATACGACGAGGTGGGAGAGCCCTATACACGCTCTTGTAGCGTGGTGGGGAGTCACTGCTGTTCTGGTACGTCACTGCTGTTCTACTGTACGGGTACTGCTGAAGGCCCCATACACGCTCTTGTAGCGGGTGGTGTGATGAAAATTTGTACGCGCCGCCGAGGTGTCTACGGACACCTACCATTACACGCTTAGGTTAGCCGTGGTGGGAAGGCCCAGCTCCCCAATTTTCCCCCAAACGGGGGATATGCCGGAGGTGCTGCCGAAATTTTCACTGAATGTACAAAGACTTGAACAATAAGAAGAACCTTATTGGCACAACAATATAAAAACTTGTACTCAACAGAAATGCATCCAGAACTCGAACTAAAAGTTGCAGGGGACTTGTATTGGAACAGGAAATGCATAGAACTGAACTAAAATGAGCAGAGGACCTGTACCAAGACAGAAGACTTGTGGAACCTAGAATCAAATTTAAATTCAAATGATTTCTAAAGGACCAAATTCAAATGAGATAAACTCAAACTGAAATCAAAAATCAAGTCAATACGAACATTTGCTTGAACTTGCAAGGACTTCAGAGAGATCCTGAACAAAGACTGAACTTGTACTATGAATTCAAAACTAGAACAAGATGTAGACAACAAGACTTATGCATTTGAACTTGAACTGGTACGACGCCAATGTGAAATCCAGATTTGCAAGCATTTGATTCGAATCCGGATGAATTCAGTTAGGATGATAGGAGACCTGAATGAATGTGGAGAGATTTAGACTGAGTTTGAATTCAAGTCTAAAAGAAACTTAACTCGAACTCAGGTATACGACATCAAGTGAGGACTTGTAAACTTGATGAATTCAAGTCTGAATGAAATTGAATTGGATCCAAACACATGCAAAAGATCGAAATTTGATCATACGAATGAGGAAACTCAAACTACAAGACCTGGATGAACGAACCCTACGACATCCCCTACAATGCCTGTTGATTGAGAGGGCAATACTGGAGACCAGCAATCAAAAATCCATCTTCTACAAACAAATTCAACTATCAACCACCTGAGATTGGTGACAGGTGGGATAATGTAGACAACAATGGGTCTCCTACGAACAGTTCCAGGTGCTCATATGGATAAACAAGGGTCCACTGCCAATAACTAAAAATCACTTGTGGATAAACAACAGTGAGAGTCTCGTAAGCATAGCGATCCACTGTGGACACAAATATTTATATCATCTACGACAGACGGTGATCAAAAATCTCTAAGTACACCGGTACATAAGCAGAGACAAACCCGATGTAGAAAAAAGACATCCCTGACAAAGAGGTAAGGACATGTTCTTGAACACAATTTAGAACCAAACTTCCGTGTTTTAAAAGGTTCTTTTTGTTAAGTAATTAGAAGAGGAACAGTTGGGTGCCCACAAACACTTAGAAAAACAGTCCGCTTATACTGAAGATCTAAAAGGATTCTCCCAAATCAAGAAGTCTTTAACTCCAGAATCCAAAAATCCTTCCCCCTGTGAATGAGAAAGGGAGTCAACATTCCAAAACGCCACGCCACCGGATCTGCAACACTTGATTAAGGCAGACAGAAGGCGTCTACAACATTCATTATTCGGCTTTTAAGCCCTTCAACAAAAGAAAGTTCATGAACAAAGGCATTGAAGCCTAAAGAACCCGATCCTTCTATACGATCAATAGGAGTCGACAGAGTTCGAACTATCAAATAGATACACGGTTGTAGTGAACCGGTGTATTTGTTAAATACATTCTTTTAGGCCTTCAATGCCCTAAAATCAAGAAAAATTCATAAAACAAAGGCACAAAGCCTACGAGAAACCCGATCCCCCATCGATAAGTTGATAGGGTCGACAGGGTCAATCAAATGGAAAATGACCCCAAACACCCCGATGATGGCCGCGTTGATTGCTTATCTCAACC